ACATTAATTGTAAACATCTTTAAAACACCATGTTGTTCATAATCTATCTATATATACATAATTTTTATTTGCCGATTAAAAAAATAAGTTTTTTAAAAAGACAACTTATATCCAGAATATATAAAGAACTGTCAAAAATCAATAATAAAACAAAGTACCCTATCTTAAACTGGGAAAAAGATTTATACAAACACTCCACCAAAGAAGATACATGGATATTAAATGTTAGACATTATGGAAATGCTTAATGCCACAATAAAACACTATTGCCCACTATCAGAATGGCTAAGTTTTTGTTCTTTATTTTTTTTTAAGTTCCAGAATACATGTGCAGAATGTGCAAGTTTATTACATAGGCATACGTGTACGATGGTGGTTTGCTGCACCTATCAACCAACCCATCACCTGGGTTTTAAGCCCCGCATGCATTAGCTATTTGTCCTGATATTCTCCCTCCCCTCCCCATGCCCACAGGGCCCCAGTGTGTGTTTTTCCCCTCCTTGTTGTGTTCATTTGTTCTCATTGTTCAACTTCCACTTAGGACTGAGACCATGAGGTGTTTGGTTTTCTGTTCCTATATTAGTTTGCTGAGGATGATGGCTTCCAGCTTCACCCATGTCCCTGTAAAAGATATGATCTCATTTGTTTTATGGCTGCATAGTATTCTATGGGAGATATATATATCTTCCACTTATATATATGTGTCACATTTTCTTTATCCAATCTATCACTGATGGGCATTTGGGTTGGTTCCATGTCTTTGCTATTTTGAATAGTGCTGCAATGAACATACATGTGCATGTATCTTTATAACAGAATGATTTATATTCCTTTGGGTATACACCCAGTAATGGGATAGCTGGGTCAAATGGTATTTCTGGTTCCAGATATTTGAGGAATCATCACACTGTCTTCCACAATGGTTGAACTAATTTACATTCCCACCAACAGTGCAAAAGCATTCCTATGTCTCCACAGCCTTGCTAGCATCTGTTGTTTCCTGACTTTTTAATAATCTCCCAGAATGGCTAAATTTTTTTTAAGTGGACAATTTCAAGTGCTGATGAGAATGTAGATCAGCTAGAACTCTTAAACATAGCTGGTTCACATGTGAAATTGTATAGCCACTTTAGAAAACAGTTTTGCAGTTTCTAACATATATTTTCCATATAAGTCCACAATCCTACTCCTAGTTATTTACCCTAAAGAAGTAAAATATTATCATCAAATTATCTGGGCATGGTGGTGTGCACCTGTAGTCCCAGCTACTCAGGAGGCTGGGGCAGGAGAATCGCTTGAACCCAGGAGGTGGAGATTGCAGTGAGCTGAGATCATGCCACTGCACTCCAGCCTGGGTGACACAGTGAGATACAATCTCAAAAAAATATTATCACACAAATTATGTAAAGAGATGTTTTATAGCACCTTTATTTACAATCAATCATCAAAACTGAAAACTTGGAACTTGTCTCAGAGGTGAAAAAAAACCCGAAAACCATCCAAATATCCTTCAACTGGTAAATGAATTTTTCCATACTGTGGTATTTCCAAACTATGGAATACCACACAGCAATAAAAAAGAAAAAACTGTGGATACACACAATATGGGTGAGTTTCAAATGCATTAAGCTAAGTGAAAGAAGTCAGGTTCAAAAAGCTTCGTACTGTATGATTTCATTTATATGACATTCTGGAAAAGACAAACTATAGAGATAGAAGGTATCACTGATTTCCAGGGCTGAAAGTGGTGAGGAGTGACAGTAAAGGGGCCTGAGGTATTTTTTTTCTACATTGTGGTGATAGTTATATGACTGTATGCACTTATTAAAACTCATAGAATTTTTAACATATATAAACCTCATAGGACCATATACCAGCAAGAGTAGATTATATGTATCTTCAATATACATGACTTTAAAAAAATGGTCACAGATAACTGGAGAAGAAATAAAAGGGTTGATCTGATGCTGTATTTAAAAAGTAAAATAATTTTTTAAAACTAATATTCAAACAAAAGATTTAACAGGAAATTTATTACTATTTTTGCCTCTTTTTTTTTTTTTTTTTGAGACAGAGTCTTGTTCTGTCGCCAGGCTGGATGGAGTACAGTGGTGCAATCTCAGCTAAATGCAACCTCCACCTCCTGGGTTCAACGGATTCTCCCGCCTCAGTCTCCTGAGTAGCTGGGATTACAGATGCATGCCACCACGTCCAGCTATTTTTTGTATTTTTAATAGAGACAGGGTTTTACCATGTTGGCCAAGATGGTCTCAATCTCTTGACCTCGTAATCTGCCTGCCTTGGCTTCCCAAAGTGTTGGGATTACAGGCGTGAGCCACCGTGCCCAGCCTATTTTTGGCATTTTTACTGGCAAAATACTTTAAGTTCTTTTATCCTTAAACATGGTATATCAAGTAAAACAAATGCCTACAAGCCTCTAATGAAAACTTTGGTGATGAACATGACAGCAATATTAACCTCTAATTTACTATTCCTTAATTATTATAGATATACTTTACTATTCTGGAATATTTCTTTTTTAATGTAAAATAAATGATCCTTTTTCTTATGGAGTGAATAATAGAGTCCCTTGTACCTAGTAGGTGTCCATAAACAGTTGCTTAATTGCATTCTATGCATTTTGTTTGGATTCATTAATTTAAATTTCTTAATTTATGCCAAACAAACAGCAAACAGTCTGGAGCTCAGAATGCCTCAGGATTAGTTCAGCTACCCTGAGGGCTGAGGGCTGAAGGCATTCATATCTGAGCAAAGGCATATCTATAACCAATTCAACATACATGTGCCTGTGCAAACACACCAGCTAGGAAACCATGCTTAACATAATGGAAAGGCCTCAACATTAACGGGATGAGGGCTACATGTAAAATTCCAACACTGTCCACTCTGTGGAGATAAACTCCATTTCAAGGCCAAATCTCTCATCAATCTCCTCCCAAGTAAGTGAAAAAAATCAAAAGGTACCCCAATTTTCATTTTTTGAAGACAATTCTTAACTGATATGAGTTTTTGGTATCTAACACATAGCTTTTTAAATTTAATTTTTGAATAGGTTGGTTTAAATAATAGTAAAAAAAGTACATAGTGATAAGACTTTCCCCAATTCTTGTCCCATGTTTGCCCAGTTCCTTTTCCCTCGATAGGTAACCACTGTTCTTTTACTTTTATATAACCTTCCACCGTTTCTTTTTGCATGGTTGTATCATCTTCACATAGGAAAGATAGAACATACATTCAATTCTATTGTCTTAAAAACAATGTTCTTTTCCCATTGTGTTTGAAGAGGATTATTTATGCTTTGTGTTACTAGTCAAATATATATCACAAATAAAATTTATACCTCTTTCAGAGTTGCCCTCCATGACTGCAATCTTGAATACATAAAATTGAGTGAAAATGTTTCTAGGATCATGTCGTTCAGCTTCTGCCACTGCCTCTTTGGCCTGAAAAGAAAACATTGGGTCCTTTTAATAAAATCTACAAGGAAGGACTTACCATATTTTACTAATATCATTAAGGTAATCAAAATGGCTGAGGGATACTCACAATGAAAATATATAAATCTAAGAAAAATATTTGCTGAACTGCTCTTCTAGAATGCTAAAGTAACTATGAGTTCTACTTCTGGAAATAGAGTGAGTTAGATATGTCAGACTCACCCTCTTGCTGAAAGCAACCAAAACTGTTGGATGAAATATTAACTTTTTTTCCAGAAAGAATAAGAGCAACTGACAAGATAGTAAAAGAATTACCAAGGCAAAATCTAAGGAAAAGTGAGGTCTCAGAGAGGTAATCAGAAAAGGAAAGTCACTTTTACCTAGTAAGCATTTGCAAATGTAAGCAAATGTTAACTTGAGTTTTGAGGAACATCACTAGGTAAGGGAACAGACATCAAGTTCCAAGGGATCACACTCCTAGACTAGGGACAAGTCAAAAGTAAACCCGCTCCTACTTACATCCCCGGGGGACGGCAAATAAAGTTACCTTGGTGCTGAATAGAAGGCAGCACAATGGGATGGAGGGAAACAATCCCTGAGGTGTAATACTAGGAGACAAATGTATTTACTGCCCCAAACTATGTTATACAGGAAGCTAAAAGACCTAAACCTGAAAATTTAGTTTAGATAGCTCCCGAACATCTACAGAAGCAAATGTAAATCTTTTCTGGAGGAAAGCACCTTCATCTTAGCCTTTGAAATACTTCCATAAATAATTTTTCTAGAACCAAGAGTTGTACACGTTAAAAAAAATAACAAAGCACACTTGGAAACCAGGTACCATAAACAGCAGAAACAAGAGATAGCAGAAGCAGACCCTTAAGATGCAGATACTAGAATTATGAAACACTGGTTATAAAACAACTATACTTTCAAAATCTAAAGAAATATAATGTATGCTCAAAATATATGTATGTGGGTTGATACACAATTGTACAAATTAACACAGTTACGGTGGTTGTTTCTAGATGGTATCCATCCTATTTTATTATTGCCTGTGCCATATCAGTAATTAAATACTTTGTATATTAGTGAAGTTAGTAGAAAACAGAGACCATAAAATGTGACCTTGGGAATTTGAAACAAAGAAGCTTTTAGAAATGAAAAACCCAATTACCCAAATTAAAACATAATACACAGGTTTAGTAGCAGATTAGAAACAAATGAAGAGAAAATTAGTGACCTGAAAGATAAAACAGAATACAATAGCCATAGTGCAGCACAGAGTGATTATAAACATGGAAGACAGTTAAGAAAGGATTCTATACTTTCTAGGATAGCCACTAAGAAATTAGAAGCAGTAAATGATTTTCACACAAGTAGAAGGGGAAGGCTGGAATGTAAAAAACATTTAAAGTAGTATTTTTAACAAATGGTGCTTGAACAACTAGATATCCACATGTAAAAAAGTACATCTAGACATAGACCACAAACCTCACAAAAATTAACTGAAAATGGATTATAACCTAAATATAAACCCCCAAACTATAAAACTCTTAGAAGATAACATAGGAGAAAATCTAGGTTAACTTGGGTTTGGCAATGGCTTTTTAGACACAATGCCAAAAGCCTATCTATGAAAGAAAAAATTGGTAAGTTGAACTTCATTAAAATTAAAAACTGCTCTGTGAAAGACATCATTAAAATAATAAAAGATAAAAGCCACACATTGGGAAAAAATATTTGCAGAACACATATCTAATAAAGGACTGATATTCAACATGTATGAAGAATTCTTCAAACTCAACAATAAGAAAACAAACAACCCAAAGTATAAAATGGGCAAAAAAACACTTCACTAAATAAAATATACATATGGAAAATAAATATATGAAAAGATGCTTAATATCATGTCATTAGGGTTTTGCAAATTAAAACAGCAATGAGACACCACTACACATCTAAAATATCTAAAATTCAAAACACTTTAACAACATGTAATGCTGGCAAGGATGTGGTGCAACAGGAACTCTCATTCATCACTGGTGGGAATGAAAAATGGTATAGCCACCTTGGAAGACACTTTGGCAGTTTCCTACAAAACTAAACATACTCTTGCTATACAATCCAGCAGCTGCACCTTTGGTATTTACTTGAATGTGTCGAAACTTTATGTCTACACAAAAATCCGCACAAAGATATTTGTAGTAGCTTTATTCATAATTTCCAAAATTTGGAAGCAACCAGGATGTTCTTCCATAAGTGAGTGTATAAACTAATATATCCAGATAATGGGATATTATTCAGCAAAAAAAAATGAACTACCAACTCATAAAAAGACATGAAGGAACCTTAAATTCATATTGCTAAATGAAAGAAAGCTATGTGAAAAGGCTACATACTACACAATTCCAATTATGTGACATTCTGGAAAAGGCAAAACTATGGAGACAGTAAAATAAAAATATCAGTGGTTGCCACTAGTTCAGTGAGAGGGAGGAAGGGATGAATATGTGAACCACAAGGAGTTGAAACTATTCTGTATGGTATAATGGTAGACACGTTTTTATACATTCATCAAACCACATATCATGTACAACACAAAGACTAATCCCTAAAGACTTTAGTTAAAAATAACATATCAATTTTGACTTATCAATTCTAACACATATAGCACACTAATGCAAGATGTTAATAACAGGGGAAATTGAACATGTGAAGAATGGTGAGGGGTATTATCTCTACACTTCCTACTCGATTTTTCTGTAAACCTAAAACTGATCTAACAAGTAAAGTCTATTATTTAAAAACACTGATCCCAAAGAAGGCAACAGAGGAGAGTAAAACAGGATAGAAATGATAAATAGAAGCCAGGTGTGGTGGCTCACGCCTGTAATCTCAGCACTTTGGGAGACTGAGGCAGTCAGATTACCTGAGGTCAGGAGTTTGAGACCAGTCTGGCCAACATGGTGAAACCCAGTTTCTACTAAAAATACAAAAATTAGCTGGGTGTGGTGGCACACACCTGTGATCCCAGCTACTCGGGAGGCTGAGGCATGATAATCACTTGAACATTAAAGGTGGAGGTTGCAGTGAGCAGAGATTGCAACACTGTACTCCAGCCTGAGCATAGAGTGAGACTCTGTCAAAGAAGAAGAAAGAAAGAAAGAAAGAAAGAAA